ACATTGTGCACCCTGATGGTGAGCCACCTAGAAAACATGATGGCCACAATGCGAACCTACACTAAAAAAGGACTAGACACACTACACTAGTTACTAGTGTACAATCTAAGTTTCCAAAGGAATCCTACAGGACGTCAATCGCAAGCCCGAATAGCAGGCTCACTGGTATCATCTCTGACTACAGTACTCACTGGGTGACGCGGGTTAGAATCTCAAAACGGACATGAGTTCCCTCAAGGCTGCAGATACGCCTTGGTGAATACTAGTGAGTGCCAACTAGCACGAAACCTAGATCGAGCGGAGCTCCCTGTGGCCGACTGCCTCTAACCATCTAATATGAACAAGGAACGAACATTTTTGCAAGATAATACAAGCTCATTTCATCTCATGGATACTGTTCAACTTTGTACATCCTAAACAAAATCAATTTATAGGTTGCAAAATTTGAGAACATACTACTCTCACAATGCCTTCGAGTAGTAGATAGAAAGTATAAGCAACATTATTCCAAAATTGATGTTGTTACGTATGCTACTGACAAAATTGGTAAGTAATATATAGATGCAGATATAAATATGCTTGTCAGTGTAATGTATAGTGAATAACCGAGACAGGTGGGTGAATTTAACGAGACATGTCTTAGAAACAACAAGGGCAACATGAGACCAAATACAAAGAACCTCAATACAGAAGACAAACTAGAATAGTATCGAAGATTTATGCAAATTATGATTCTACTCTATATGACAGACGTATTTCGCTTATATATCTGTGTATCAAGCCACAAATAAATAATTCTGTTACCCATTCTCTTGTCTTGTGCTGTTATAATGTAAGTAGATGAATTATTCAGTGTTATGAGGCTAAATTGGATGGGGGCGGGATACGAAATCCCAAGCCTACCCCGTTGTCCAATTAGACTATTCATGGTTACAGAATTTCCATTATGAGCTAACATTAGTTAGAGAACCATTGGAAAACCTGGGAGTACTGGAGAGCTGCTTCGTCCCAGGACTTCCTGGGTTCGAATCCCGGTGGATGCGTGTTGCTGAAGAGTCTCAAAATAGGAAGAAATAGCTGTCCAGTGCTTTCAGGTTTTCCAATGGTTCTCTAACTAATGTCAGCTCATGATGAAAATCCTCTAACCAATCAAATCCCTACAAACCAACACTAGACTATTAATGGTTAGTCATTCAACACTCAATAACTCATTAACTTGCATCAACCTTGAAATTATGTCACTCATACTTTCTATCAACAACTCGAAAGCATTGTGTGTTGAGGTATGTTCAGAAATTTGTAAATTATAATTTGATTTTTTTGAGGGGATGTACACAGTTGAAGAGAATCCAGGAAATAAAATGAACTTGTATTATCCTGTAAATAAGTTCGTTATTTCTTTCTTCACGCTAATAAAGGGGACCGGTTGTATGAAATTCTTAAAGATTCCCCCAATTGTTATCAGTTGGTTATCTTCATCACCCCTGTGTTCTCTATTCCATTTGAAGTCCTGTCTTTACTGCCTGCCTCTTCTGTCAGCCTTTTTGACTTTCCCCTGTAGCTCTTTGAGTTCACATGACATGAGACATAAATCATCCGATCTTCTCACTTATCACAGTCCACCTCAAGATCTAATCTGCGACAATCAAGAATATCATCTGTGATAGTGGATAGTCTTGTCTTACTCCCGTCTTCATTTCAAATGCTTCACTTCCTTTTGTAGATAGATAAATAACTCAGGAAGAAGAGAAAAAAACAAAGATGATAAAATAAAAAAATTCAAGAGAAATTTCATTTTTTAAAACTCTTTATTGGATGAAGATACTTGTGTTTCCAAAACCTTTAACCTTCCTTCCTTCCCTCCTTATCTCTCCAACTTCATCTTCTATTTCTTTGTTAGGATGGTTTTATCTCAGGACAAATTGTTGGAAGTCATCAGAAAGAAGTCTTGCTTAGAAAGGACTGTGATACTTATTGCCTTACAGATTCTGAACCGAATGTGTCACTGAAATACCATACATTCCGTGGTGTTCCGAGTGCTGGCGGTATGGCTTCAAGCCTTAAGATTTGAAGTTTGAGGAGTAGTGTTATCATTTTTACTGGCTGAGGATTGCCAGCCATATGCTCCCAACCTTCCCTCTTTCTTGAGCTTACTATTACCGGTTAGTAAACTAGATGAGATTTAGCAGTGTGCCAGTTGGGAATCGAACCAGGCCGCCTTGCATGTCTGACGAGTAGGATGGTAGGCTGGTAAGCATTCTACTCCAGTGAATCATCAATGCATTGAATTAAAGGGGGTGGAATGAAAATTTGATCCAAAGAGGGGACCGAACCAGAGGCATCTTCATTACAGATCCGATACTGTACCGGTTAGGCTATGAAATCCACCTACTACTACTAATACCAACGAGGCTGCCATTTCAATGAAATCACAAGGAGTAATACTCAGCTGTCATATGAATGGATGAGTATTGTCCTTACACCACACCAAGTGAAGTATGAGTTTCGTTAAACAGCTTTTATGCTGCTAGATTAGTAATTCACAGCCAATCAATTTGAATCCTGCTTTGACGAAGATTTTCATTCCACTATCTGGTGACATCTGGAGACACTTTATTCAATGTCTTTCTTTACCTTACGCATTGTACCTCTTTTTTATTTCAAACAGGTGGAACTAAACTCTTTATTGAAAGTATTCTAACTTATTTAACAGATCTTATTGAATAGGATGTCTAGTTATGCAGCACAATGTTTGTCAACTAACCAAAGTTTATGACAAAGTAAATATTTTTCATGAAAAATCCCCATTCCAACATTAATAGAGAGAAAACCAGTAGTTCAGCGAAGAGTCTCTCTTCGGCAAATTGATTTCCAGAACTGTACAATTGCAAATGTATATGGTCATTTTGTATGTGTGTGTACATTAAATTTGCCAAACGGAAATACAATTAGTAAGTTTTTGGTAGAGTTACCTGATACGAAATGCGTTCGTAGGAAGTGGATGTTGATGTATGAGGGTAGTAACAAAAGTGATGAGTTGTCACAAACTATTGTTGAGGAAGAGTCACGTAATAACATGAAGAGTATGATAAACGAGTTGTGCTCAGGATGTGTATGGAAACAAAATAAAATATGGAATTGCGTAAGAGTTTTAAGTAGTTAAAAAACAAGCAAAGAAGCAAAAGTTAAGTTAAATCAACAGGGTTGTTACCATGATAGTAGAAGAGGTTGAATAATTTTCTTTTGTACGCATAGTACTGGTTCTTCTAACTGAATGGCTAGGTCTTCTGCAATACAAAGAGGACGGAAACGTATTGTCTTTGGCAGGTCGTTCTTCACTTTGTAGGTTACTTTGGAGAAAGCGTTTGTTGAGATGGAATGACCAGTGTGGTGACGAGATGTTCGATTATTGCACTCATTATACGACCACTACTTCCTTTCTGAAGCCACGCTGGATAGTGTTCTTTAACCCTTTTTGACAGGATGCTCATTGAACGACCGATGTACCTGGCTGGCCTCACAGCAACTAGTGAACTGATATATGCATATAGAATCAAATTTCAGCATATGTAACTGGCTACACAACCAATGAAACTCAAAAGGTCCATTTGGTATTTAGATTACTTAAATCTTTCTAGCATGCACTTCTGAATGATGTGAGTATTATTCAACTACATAACTCAATCAATCAGTAGTATGCAGCATCACGCATTAATACTTTCGTTCTTGATTGTTATTAATGATAATAAGCAGATCCCACACTGTGGTCAGAATAATCTCAGTTACCATAGGAATCTGTGATGGAGACTCATCTCCTTAAACTGTGTAGATTGTGAACTGTGGGTTGGATGACAAGTACTACCAGTCCACCAAAATAGCTATTCAGAGGTCAACCCATTTAAACAGATTCCGCTTTCCGATTTGTGTCGAATCGGATAAATCTTTGATGAGCTCTGACCTAGAAACGACTGAAACGGCCATTCCATGTATATACTACTGATGAGTTGATATAAGTAATAGGAAACTGCCTACATCATTCAATAGTGCTTGCTAACCAACCAGATCGATCACCAGACGATCAATCCACTCCGTTGATCTGGAGGTAATCACAAATTTATCTATCTACCAGAATGTTTCTTAATAATCTCACCTATTCCCTGATCTCTTTTTAAAAAATAATTTTCACCCCTTTGCGTTTTTCTGTTCTACTCCTTTTCACGCCTTAGATAACAGATTCCCCACCGCGAGCCTATTCACACAGATTCACCGGTCAACATGAAAATCCAACTGGTGATGAGATATCAACACTGGGTTTACAACGTCGATTCAAAGACAATCAGTATACAATGAATGAACAAGGCAAATTGATTAGAGTCAGTGAACAATTCTCCAGCAATCCTGATGAGAATTTCATCAGTGCCGGATCAATACTCATTTCTATTGTTGCACTCAGTTGTGCAATCATACTAGTTCTTCTAGGGATTACAGTTTATGTTTGTGGTCGACGAGGATTTCAAAGTCTACGATATCATACTAATAGGAACAATAATCATAATAATAGTAATAATTATCGGACGCAGTATTTAACCCGGAATCCTAATTCAATCAATAGTTTACATAAGATAACCGATGAAAAAATTCATTGGAAAACAATTTTAAATTCAAACCACAATAGTCATAGTAATATTCATACACCCAATTTAACTTTATATCCAAATAGATCAATACTAATCGATAAAGATAGTGGGAATCTCTTACACTGTCATATTGATTCAACAAATAATTCAACAGTCATGAATAATGCAGAGGATTATATTGAAGGTCAAACAGAATCAATACGTTTAACACCATTGAATATTATTGAACAAGGTCACGTACAACAGGATAAACATTCTTCTAATCATGAAGGAGGTTATACAACATTTTTACCACTGTCAGAGCATTCATCCAACTGTTTGACAAATTATACTACTCTGCCATTAGATGAAAAGCACCATTCAATGTATATCCCATTACAATTTTCCCCCATAATGTTAAATGATCAATTAAAACAAAATTGTGAAAAGTATTGGACATTGAAAGATAGCAATAATAATTATTCAGCCTCAGCTGAGAATCAATATGATCAGAGATTAGTTTCATTCATAGCATCGAAAGGATACCAATGTCTACGTCAAGTGCAAAATCAATCGTCGGAGAATGATAGTAGGGAAGAACAATTTGAGATGAATGACAAATCAATAGACACAACGGTTACAGAGACTAATTGTAATACAACTCATACCACAACTACTATAACTACTACTGCTAATAACAATACTAATACTAATGCTCCCGTTGAAACTACTGATATTGTAAATAGTAATATAACAAGTAAAAATACTCCTGCCTATCATACACGATCATTAAAATGTAAAAAATCGGATAAATCGTTACAAATAATGAATGAAATATGTGTACTGCCCGATCATTTGATAGACACGACACATAATGGTCATTGTACATTGAACAACAATAGGCATTGTTTAAGTGACAATTCTAGGAGGAGTAATAATTTAAAAAATTCAAAAAGTTGTGAATATATCTGTATACCGCATATAAATCATGTAAGTTGAGCAAATGATACATAAATTTATTTGAATTTACTTCTTTTAATTATGTATTTTGTTTTTCGATTTTTGAAGTTGAAAATTTGAGACAAGAAGGGGAAGTAAAGAGGGAGAGGGCTCTGGGGATAAAAGTGATCTTAAGGTGTTTTCTTCCTTTCTGTGTAAAAAAAATCGATAAAATACCTTTAGAAAGGGTAGGGATACAAGTAATTGTCAAATAAATCTACCCCTCACTTGTTCAATCCAAGTTCTCAGCTGATACATCCGCTCCTAATACGGATGCTCTGTCGTTTTGAAACGATAGCTGGCGTTTTCGAGTCACAGTGGGAATGCCGTCTGTCAATTAGGAGGCAGGTACATCCAGCTGACCAGGTAGAATTGGACGGAATGTGTATTCTAGATTCTCCTGCTACTCATCATCAATAAGATTACTTCAAGTTACTCCTCAAACATCGTCTAAGTCTCCGCACAGAGGACTAACATTTTGGTTCAATCAGTCAACAGTGGTGAAGAGGTAGAATGCTCGCCATCCTCTCACTTAGTCCGGGGTTCGATCCCCGGCCGACGCACTCCCCAACCTCGCTTAGCTGGTGATAACCCAGGCAAAGGGGGAGAAGGTGAATTAAAAACAAATAATACCTAATACTTATTGCACTAGAGATGGCTCTTGTGGTCCAAGTTATCGAGTGGATAGCTCACTGACATTTGAAACGGCGGGTCCTGGGTTTACGTCTAAGTGAGAACACCATCGCTAACTGGGGAATATAGGCAGATCCAGCTGAGTGGTACCGAATAAGACGAAGTGCATATCACGGATTTCCCTGCTAGTCACCATTATCCAAAATGTATTCATTTCCCTTCTAAAATCCACTCCATTTATTGGATAGAACAGAGACAGTCACATTACAGCTTGGTGTTGTCTGAGGTCATGAATGATTTTCTATCATCAACATCAAATATTTCATTTGGCTGTCTTATCAACGTGTTTTGTCAATTTGTTTCATAAAGGTCGTATATCTGCTGTGCTGTTCACCTACTGTATGCGCGGAAACACCCTGAGATTACTTTTATCCTCACTGAATAAAAGAAAACTTTCTCAAAAACGATTTAGTTTGATTTTAATGTTTCTGTGCCTCTATAAACCAGCTGATTGGCAAAATTAACCAGTAACGGTCGACCTAGGCGAACGACCTAGTCTATGACCTTGAATTAACCAATTAGAATGAAGCACTCTGATTTAGCCGGAGTAAACTAACGCTTTCGTTGGAAAAGTAATTAAAGAAGAGTCAAAATTTCAGAAGGGTTTCAAAACTCTAAAAAGGAATCCGAGTATTCATTGAAATGACTGCTGTTAAATCTCGCGAGCTAGAGTTAATAAGGTAGAATTTACAGTTGAGATTCGGTTTTAGTATCACGAATTGACTTCACTTACTCAGGCATTGAAAACCACCAAGGAGTACTGAACAGCCGTTTCTTCCTTGTTTGAGACTCTTCAGTAGTATGCACCTATGACTCAACAGGTATGGAATCCAGGTCTTTCTCAGGTTATAAGGTAAAATCGTTAATCATCCTTCCATTTTAAAGGGAACCAATAACTAGCCCATCAGTTCTAACTTCTGCCGATTCGGCATACACATAGAGCAAACGTCAGCCAATGTTATCAATAAGTATCCGTTCACACACACAACTCGGTGGATCCTTCTGGTCATGACTTCTCAGTAGAACTAGCAGCAAATTCATCCTGTAGTCAGTCATCAATGAACTCCAAGATTAAATCGAATACCATTCGCTTTATTAATAATAAACTCCACCTCTCCTCTATAGCCACTTTATTACCCAGTGCAAACTCTGATTGGCTGCCTCAAGGTCACTCACTTTCTTACTCACTTAGGTCATCATTGTTTAATTTGAACATTTTCTTCTTGATTCGGGTTACTGTTTACCGGTTCTTCCAAATCACATATCACACTGTTGGCCAACAGATTCATCTGAGGAAGAGGAGGATTTAAAATGCAACCTGTGGCTTACTGATTTAATCACTTCTGTTGAAAGTAATAATTGCAGGTCCCGAGATCTAGGTTTCGATACGATACATAACTTTTATAGCTGTGTGAGTGTCGTCTACCTGATGTCCTATATCGATGTGGTGAGTTATATATAGAGAGCTACACATTGCTTTATTTAGTCATTTTGCTTAAACTAAGATGAAAGGCAGTGTTCAGATATTCAACGATAAAACTTTCTAATCTTATGCCCAATATAATTACCTCCGCAAAACAGTTACTTCACAAGTATCATGCTTATTATGGTAACAACTAAATCCCAGTGTTGAGTTCAATAAAATTCAATATAAATAAGAGAAGTGGTTAGCTAATTCCTATTCTGATTTTCGACTCTTTATTAGTCTCTATACATCAATGAACCTCATCTGGTTTACTACCTCGCTGCGTTTCTAGTCTGATCCAAGCCTCGGTAAAGAGGGAGGGTTGGACGTGGGGCTAGCGACCCTGCACCACAAAAGCTATCAAACTGCTACAGAAACTTCAACACACAAAAATATATCAAAAATACAAAAACATTTAAAAAACAAACTTATTCTTCGCTCGAATCGGAGAGGCGAAATGACGCCGCTGGCTGATGAAAGCCTCCGTGAAGCCAGTCAGCCAACCGATTTGTCTTCTCTCGATGAAAGCAAGAATAAGAATGGGGATATGTAATGTCTGTAGAATGTACGAGACTTGGAAGACTGAATAGGTAGCCAAAGAAATGTGAAGATATGGCATAGAAGTGCTAGGAATCTGTGAGAGTAGATGGAATGGATGTGGACTGACAAAATTGTCAACTGGTGAGTCAATAACCTACTACAGTCACGACAACCACGAACACATTGAGGAAGTGAGTGGCTATAATGATGTCACCAGTGGCAGCCAAAGCTCTAATGCAGTGGGAACCAATTTCATCCTGCAGGATCATGACAACAAGATACAACTCACAAGCATGGAAGGAAGGTTGCAATTATCCAGCAATATGCACAGTGCTAAAAACAACTCGGAAAAACAAAAGAAGAAGGATTTCTATATACAGCTGCAAACAGTGATGGACAGCATCCCAAATGTTGACATCAAAATCCTCATGGGCGATATGAATGCCAGTCAAACCGACCTGATAATACAGGAAGAGAACTCATCATGGACAGACAGGCTATCACTCGGCAAAATGAATGAGAACGGAGAATTATTCACAGACTTCTGCGCTTTCAATGACCTGGTGATCGGAGGGAGCGTGTGTAAACACAGGGGTATGCACAAAGCAACATGGATTTCGTCTGATGAACCACATAGACTTCTTCTCAGTGCTGCTCAAGGAAGTGGAGACGCAGCCTGCTGAACACAAAGTTGGGAAGAGAAGTAGATGTGGGCTCGAACCATCATCTAGTTCAAGGAACCTTCAGGCCACTGTAATTCGACTTCAACATTCAGAAACTGAAGGACAAAACTACAAGGGACGCCATCATCCTAGATCAGATCAGAGTAAAGTCGGAGATGCTATTGTAAAGCAGACAAGACAGAGGAGACTGAAAGGATTGTTTATTTGGTGAAACGTATGGTACATAGCTAAATTTGGAATACCATATTCTAAACCGGCCATTTGCACATCTCCACCACATCCTTGACGAATTGGTCAAATATCGTCTCATTCGATAGCTTCTTGGATTCTGCATCATATGGCAACATTCTTCTCATGGTTCTCGTCTTTGATTGCTCTTTTCGGTGTGCCAAACATGTTGTTACTTCGTTCCTGATATACTACTTATATCGGATTATAAGTAGCACTCACCACACTATGTGTTATTAACGAGGAGACTTGCGTAGAAGAACATAGGAGCTCTCTGAAGGCGATATTCAAAGAAACGTGTACAACTGTTTTAGGAAGGAGGAAAAGAGTAGAAAAGTAATGGCTCTCAACTGAATAAAGAAGTGAAGAGTGCAAGAAAAGACAAAAGACAATTCTACGACACAGTGGCTGGCGGTAACTGAAGCAGAACAGGTAGGCTTCAGGTAAAAGAAATATCAGGACAACATATCACATAACCAGGTCTCTATCCCGGGAAGAGATCAACCCAGATGAAGAGACCAATAAAAGATGTTCAAGGGAACTTGATTATCATGCAGGAGTAACAAATAAAACAATACGATAATCACTTCAAAGAACTCTTGAATCGACCATCATTTACAACTCGCAGACAATTACCACCGCCACCAGCATGCACAGAACTGCCTGTCAGTGAACACCAACCCTCAAACGAAAGCAAAAATCCTGAATGCGATCAAGCTACTGAATTCCAGTCAGGAAGGCAGCAGGACCAGACGGAATTCCTCCCGGAGCACTGAACACAGAGACTGCGGCAGATGTGCTCACACCATTATTTCAAAAGGTTTGGAGGGAAATAAAGATGCCTACTAAATGGAAGAAACGCTACCTCGTCGAGCTGCCAAAGAAGGGCAACTTAGGCCTGTGCAAGAACTGGCTGGCATGGAATAAAGCTTTTGTCCACGCGCACCAAGTAAAATACTAAGTTGCATCATCCTGGAGAGAATAAAAAATGCACTGGATACATAACTCCGCCTCACCGTCTAGAAGAAGCTGACTGGATTCAGAGAAGGCAAATCATGTACTGATCAACTTGAAATTCTACCCATCATCAAAGAACAAAGCACAGAATGGCAACTAAATCTCTACCTCAACTTCGTCGACTTCGAAGAGGTCTTCACCAGACAGCGTTGACCGAGAAGTAGTTTGTAAACTACTTCAACTCTGTGGTGTACCTCAAGTCTTTATCAACCTCATTCAACAGCTGGCTATATGGCAATGCCATATGTCAGGTTATCCACAAGGGAAAACTCAGAGACGAGCAAGAAAAGGCTTCCTATTATCACTGATCATATTCCTAATTTTGGTGGACTGGATTATGCGAAGGACTGTGCGTCGAGAGTGAGAAGCCAGAAATAAGTTGGACCCATAAGAAGATTCTAGAAGATCCGGATTCCACAAATGGTATATCTCTAATGTCCTACACACATAAGAAATGCAGGCGAAAACCAACAAAGTGTCAGGAGAGGCACACAACGAAGACAGTACTCCAGGTGAACACAAAGAAGATAGACGTGGTGAAGATAACCAACCAACAGCAACGGTAGTCCAAGGTCAATATCAAGTGGTGGGAATCCACATTATGATCAACAATAACCACAAGATATTTTTATTTAGTTGTGTTCTTTGAGATGGTTGATTTAACTGCAAAGCTTTCGTCGTCCTTCTAGACAACATCTTCAGTGCAGGTTTTAGTATGAAATCTCCACTGTTTCGACCACATGATAATCACGGCAGACAAGGGCAGGTCTTATTAGTCGCTAGTCTGTCATACAGTCTGTCTGTCTATGGCGATAAACACTCCCAACCTCCCCCGTTTACCAGACTTACTACCAGCTAAGCGAGGTATAGCAGTGCGTCAGCCATGGATCGAACCCTGGACCACTTTTATGGCTAGCCAGTGTTCTACCACTTAACCACCGACTCAGAGATCTACATGACGTATTTGATATTAGTTTTATTATTATTGATTCCTTAAGTCTCTCACGGGACACAGGTATTCAGAATCATATCTCCAATGTCCTCTGTTTCCTATCATCTTCTTTAGTTGTCTCAGCAGCTGAACACAAGCTTCCATTTTCTATTCTCATGACCTTCTCTTGATCACTCTCGGACGTCCAACCAGTAGCTTTCCATCTGGGTTCCTCCGGGAGTCTAGTATGTGATGTTGGTTGACGCTAATTGTAATTTCTTTTGAATCTTTCTTCAGCAGCAGATTCCCCACTGACTCACTGCACTCTAAGTGTTTCTTTCTGCTGGCCAATCCTTCTTTTTGGTCATCTAATCTTCAGTATCATACGAAGGCAGTTGTTGATGATAGTCTGTAGTGGTCTGTTGGAAATACCATTCGTGATGTGTGCACCTAGTCTCTGAGCCATACAGAAGTATTGACTGACCTTCATTTCAACAAGGATTTAACACTAATGAACATCTGTTTCGCTTTTCCGTTCCACTCCTAGCTGGCTTTGACATTCTCACCCGTTCTAAATCATATGAATACCAAGAAATGCTCAAGCGGTAAACATTAATAAGATATCCAAAATTATTTACTATTTCAAAAGACACTCAAATAGTTGAAAAAACTTACACATTCTAATTTCTGTATTGTTATCTTCTTCTTTTTTTCTTGACCTTTCATATCCTCCCTTTTGTAAGTCATCATCTCCGCCAGTATCATCGAACAGGAAGAATCGTGATAATACATCGCCAAGATTAGACGCAAATGTTGCCATATTTACCAATCCCAATGATACACATAAAGGTCAGTATTGAATTTTGTCTGAATAATTTTGTTTTTCCATCCTTTCATTCAACTTGGATTCGATCATGAATTGAACATTAGTGAGAAAGTTACTGAAAACTAGAAAGTACCACACAGCTGTTTCGTCTTAGTTTGGGACTCTTCAATAGTATGCACCTGTGATGTGACTGGGGGTGTTTGGCTGAGACCCTGCAGATTAAGAGAAGAGCAACTTTTCACACAGCCAGTGGATCTACGCCTAACAGTGCATGACTCCTAACTTCTGGGATATGCATCTCCAATGCTATTGGCTAATATATGTCCTCACACCTGACTTAGTGAACGCCAATAATACATGGTTTCCAGGAACTCGCTGACTGATGTATCTGTCTATAATAAAGTGTTGAATAATTTAATTGGCTTAAATCAACCGAGTCACACATGTCAGGCTCTCAAGTGGAATCCACACTAATGGGAACAGACGAGCTGGAGGTGTGTTCAAAGGTTACGTGGATAAGATAATGCTAGATTATGTTAGCATGAAGTGAAAGCTAACACGATGCAATAAAGTCAATTAAATTGATCACGGAGGAACTAATACGATGAGGATATGACGCGCGGAAGGTCTTTGTTTCACTTGGAATGCATGGGACAGATAATAACAATAACAAGGGTTCATCAAACTACGTCATAATGACTTTTTCAAAAGTGATATTTCATTTTATGAAAGCTGAAATGATTGTTCCATAATTCTCCAAGTGTACAGATGCAGAGACTCTTAAAAATAATGGAATTTCAGTGACCCTTCATGTAATTAAGAACACATGAGCCACAAACACCGATCAAAAATGGATATCTAACCCCTTCATCAAGATGCAGCTAAAGGGAAGGACCGATACACCACGAATTCTAGATCTGCTGAATATATAACTAATTGTAAATGTGAATTTCAAGGGAGGTTGGTTATCTTAAGCCTTTTGTTGTGAGTAATTCGAAGAACATTCTTTGCGGCATCTCTGCGTCTCACCTTCACACATTCTCTTTTTCATCAAAAAATCAAACACAGAATCCTGCTGTCGGTAACTTCAGCGTTCATTTACCAATTCACTTGCCCTTATAGAGCCAAGTACATAGGCCTTGCTAACAGTATATTGTCTAGACTCACCCAAAAGTATTCGCCAGCTTGATTTCTCAAAGGAGAACGTATGATAGTGACTAGTTCAATTCTATAGCAAATTATTACTTCTCGTCACACAGTATTAGCAGAGACCCTTGTCAGTGCTGTTTGAAAAGATTCTGACTGCATCATTTAGTCGTACGGTTGAAGCTTTAGGAATCCATGTTGAGAAAGCAGAACTTTGTGTTCAGGAAGGTTTTATTCATCCTTGGGAATTTATAGTTTTCTCTTACTGCTTTCTTGGCTAGCTGTATAGTAAACTCCACGCAGTCCGTCTTATTATTCTCTAGTGTTTTGCATCTCATTTTCAATCCTCTATCCTCTCATTTCTTATCACAGTTATTTCCAATCGATTATTCGTCCCTTTAACCATGTAATTGTTAAAATTCTCCTGATTAGGTAAAACTATCCATAATTTTTTCAAATATTACTCTTACTCATACACTCTGACTTATTTTGTAACTAACTGACAATAATCTCTCACCTCAGTTAACACTAGATGTTTAAACTTCTAAATAACTAACAGTACAGATTTGAAGTGAAGTTACGGAAACAAGGGAAAATTCACTGAAACCTTCGAAGGGAAGACAGGGGAAAAGACAGGGATGCCTGCCTTCTGCCACCGATGATATTTGTACTTGTGGTGGACTGGATTATGCAGAAAGTTGAGTGTGGGGAGCTAGAAAACAGGAATACATTGGACTCTAGATAATTGAAGATCTGGATTTCGTGGACGATTCATGCCTAACCTCACATAAATTGGAGAACGTTCAGGAGGAAACTAACAAATTGTCAGAAGAGACAGGTAGCGAAGACAAGATTTCAAGTAAACATATAGGAGACAGAGGTTATGATATGAAATTATTATGAGCAATAGTTTGTGCTCGAAACGTTATCAGTTAATATAACTGTACAACACCGTGTGATTTATTAAAATAAAATCTTATCCATTATGGAGTTATACTCTACCACAGTGCCCAAGTTTTATACTTATATCAAGGAGACAGAGGTGATGAAGATGACAAATGACTATCAATGGAATAAATTTGAAAGACAACACTTCCTGAGCACCATCCTTTCAACTACAGGCGAAGGCCGAAATGATGAAGTCAAAATGAGAATCTGAAAGGTAAGCAGATCTTTATCATTGTAAAATCAGTTTGGAAATGCTGTGAGGTTAGCACACGGAAGAAAATTAGAATTTATAACACCAGTGTTATTTCAGATTTCCTATGTGGATCAGTCGTGAAACGCATTTCTAACAGGTTACCGCAGAATTTCATCAACAACTACCCCCACTCTACAATCAGCATCAGATAGCCAGAAAAGGATTGCAGCAAAAATACTTTGGGAACATAATAAGAACTGATTGCTCAAAAAATATGCCGTAAGAAATGCAGATGGACTTGACAAACTCTAAGGATACCGTAGGGTGATATCATGCGTCAGGACATCTGTCGAGTAGAACCCGAATGGGAAGCAACGAGTTGAGCGCTGATTCAAGTGTGACATGGAGGAGGTCATGTGAGGAGGAGATTAAAGACTTTGAGCAATCACGAAACCACCTGATAGGAGTGCTAAGAAAGGTACAATGTAGAGAGTCGCTGCAGAAGCCCTATGCTCCACTAGGAACCGAGGGGAATAATAATGATAATAGAAAGCAGATTTCTTCTCTGAATAATGCCTTATTAATTACATGAAATGGGGATTTTCAATACCATTGAAGATATAGCCTTCATGCTTTAGCAGAACAAGATTTCCCAGAGATTTTACACTTCTCTAACTGTAATGGGTATTTTCCAATAACCTAAAGTAAAACGCATGATTCCCAAAGGACGGTGAAGTCTAAAAACAAAATTTCAAACGCCCTAACCGTTGATATTGATTATGGATGGATTGTGTGTTAAAGATTCTCCCGCTTATTTGTTTAAATTAATAATGAAACCTAAAACAGCAGAAGAGACTGTGAGCATTACGAAGACAATGCGCTAAAGACATCTCATTTTAGTTTAGAAATGTTAGTTCTCAGGGATATGCTTGATTTGAAGATTGATCACACATTGAGTTTACTTAGTAAACCTCTTAAATGTAAGGCGTCTTCGACAGTTGTTCCACCTTCGTTTGCAACTCGTCAGCAATATTCATCCTTTAGGGGACAAGGCGAGCTTGTCGATTTCTGAACGACTGGCATACCAATTCTAGCTTCTTCCACCTCGCGACATCTACAGCGCTACAGTTAATCACTGTCAACGTTGAGTATTTTTCCTCACACTTCACATGGTAGACCCCCTGGTCGTAACTTCCCAAGAGAGCTTCCAGTAACTATATCCAGTGGTCAGTCACTGGGAGTAAATGCTCTCACTAATCACAAGGTTAATCACCAGAACAGTGGAAACAACAATAGTAAGGGCAAGTGAAAACAAGAGAGAAAAAAGGATGAACTGTTGAGAATTTCATGTCATCTCAATCAATCAATCAATAATGTCAACTTATTTGCAAATATGCTTACTTTCGTGATTACTATTTATGACATCAATCAGATCACATATTGTGATCTGAATAATCTTGGTTTCCAATGGAAACCATAGTGGAATTTCACCATTCGAACTGCGTCAACTGCATATTGCTAACAAATTGGAAGATTATGAATTTGTCTTAAAGTATGACCAATTCAACCAAGTAGCCAGCGAAATATCGGGTCGTTTGAATTAGTTCATTACTCTGTGAATTGAGACAAACCGTTTACATTACTAACAGATGAGCTCGACCCCAAATGTGAGTGAAACGGTCATTTGGTGTTTAGATCACCTCGTTCTGGCTGGCCAGCAAGTACTACTGGCTGATATAAGTGGCATGCAGCTACTCAGGATTTTTTCATCATCTGATCTTACAAACTTATCGCTGTAGGCATTTTGACAACCTGTTAGAACTAACTCACTAACTAACCTTGTACTAACTAAATAATCTACTAACCTTGAACTAATTTGGTGGATAGTGGATAGCAGTGGAATCCAGGATGCGCATTTCGTCCTGTTTGGGACTCGTCAGCCATCTGGATGTACCTGCATTCCACAGTGAGTCATGATGTTCCCACCGAGGCTCAAACCCAGTGCCCATAGTTTCAAACGCCAAAGCATTACCCACTAGACCACTTGGGCCACGAGAGCCACCTCTTGTGCAACGGTTTAAATTAATAATTTAATTTTAAATTTTATGGGCACTGAGTTCGAGCCTCGGTGGGAACATCAGCACTCACAGTGGAATGCAGGTACATCCAGACGACGAGTCCCATGTAGGATGAATTGCGCATTCTGGATTCTACTGCTGGTCACCATCCACCAAATGACTTCAAGTTACATGACAAGACAACGTCGAAGCGTCTGCACAAGAAGCCGACATGTCAACCTGAGACCGAGCAGTTTGGTTCAATCAATCGACGGGAAAATCTAAAATTCAATTAAATAATCATGAACTAACTAACTAACTATCCAGGTTTGAGGAGGGAAGTCACGAAAAGAATGGATTTTGCCTGATACCTATGTCCCTTAATTTTGTTATATCACATAGGTATTTTTTTCTCATTATATTAAATTTATTTTTATATTCTGTTAGATCCCTGGAATTCTCTTCTTCAAACAAACAAAGCGACCAGATCCCTATTCAACTCGCCGACCACATCAACTGTGACAACATCTCAACAAACTGCTCAAATGCTAAATTCAAAGAATACACCAACTACATCGAAACCTTCAGATTACTATACAAAACTTCAACAGATCAATAATAATAATACTAGTAATTTACAAGAAAAAATTAAAAGTAATGCTAAACATTTAAATTCATC